GCGCGCGCACTCATGCACCCACACACCCACAGACACACAGACACACATTGGATCTACTAGTGTAGTGAAAATCTACGACATACACACACACAAACAAGCAAACACTGACACCACCCCTCCCTTTCAGTATTCCGGCTGACTCTCCCTTTTAGTTGTGCATCCACACAGGTAATCCACTTGACCCTTAACAGTAGTCACAGCCCACTTCTCCATACATCAGTTACGATAACCATGTGATAATAGCCACGAAAATGACAAAGTCAAACTCTGTGGCAAACTGTCACAAGACACAGGCAGTTATAGTCATGCAGGGCTAACAGCAAGTTGGCATCATATCCGACATCTGCCGGCAATTGAAAGGAATAATTTTTAGGGTGTGGGCCATCACAAGATGGTCCTCTTCCTCCCAACAGTGTGAGGCAATTCCTTCGTAGCCTGGGTATGCTGCACTCAGGTTTGCTGGTGATCAGAGAAGTGACCCACAAGGAATTTGCTGCTGGTCAAAGGAGTACCAAATCATAAACTGGGCACAAAGAACCGAATTTATCATTTACACAATTCATTCACGGACACCCCACCGCAGGCATGGACAAAAATCCCCTCCTAGCCTGGGTGGGTGCCTCTCTTAGCTCTTTAGGCCAGCTTTTCAGGCTATTGTTCATAGCTGTACCGTGTCAAGAAACGCAGTGGCAATGTCCATGAAGATAGACTCTGATAGAGCCATCCTGTACCCAGCAAACTATGCCCCAACAATTCCTCTCCCCCCCCCCTCCCTGCAAAGAGTTCAGAAAAGATCGAATACAGACGAAATAGGAGAGCGCGAAGTAGAAGACGAGCACTCAGCACCTTGGTTCTCCCTTCTGTGCGGGCAAGTAGAGTTTTGTCCTTCTACCTGAAGCAGTAAGCTCGCACCAGGAAACTCCGGAGTATTGAGCGCCAAGAGAAGGTCTGCAACAAGATTGTCAAGAAGTACTTTGTATACAGTTGTATCCTGTCCCCTGTTGTTCCCCCACCGCTGTAAGAAGTGAATCCAGAAATATGTTGCCGCCTCTGATGCCACCTCATACCCCTTCGCACTGTTCGAAGTATCTGCTTCTCCCTGTTGCTGCTTCTGCTTCGGGTCACTCTTGTCTTCTGTTTTGGGCACCTGCTCAGCACCAGGATTTGGCAGACTGACACAGCATTGAATGAGCTGCAATAAGAGTGCACTTGACATCTGGATCTGCCTTGTATCTTCATCAAGAAGATGATAGGTACGGAGATTTCGTTTCGAAACAGGCTGCTTCCACAATAATGAGATTACTTCATCCAGAATCAGGTTCCGATGCTGTGGGTAGTTGTCAAACACCTGCAATTTAACCATACCCACATCACTCATCAGGTATAAAACGCATACCCACACAACTCATCAGGTGTAAAACACATACCCACACCACTCATCAGGTATAAGACGCCTTCAACTTCACTCGTCTCTTCAGAATAATTCTATAAAGCGAGTATTTAGAGACCTAGGAGTTCCAGACTTTCCAAACTGAGATTGAACCCTACTGTTGTGGTTAGGCAAACCTAGAATCTTCTACTATGCAACAGTGCCTCGCAGCCCTCTCTCCAGAGCTGAGAGATGGCAAAGGCTATTACAAGGGTCGTAGAGACTTGAAAGAGCATCCACGCAACCACATGCAGATCTCGGTCAAATAGAAAGTCAGCCCCGATAGAATTGTCGACAGCCCAGTTTAGAGGGGGAAAATCAGTCTAGGGGGTCTGTGTCCATCTCAAAGTGCACTTGACCTCATAATAAAGGAGAGGCCTGGGACCATTTCACCAGCAGAAGCCCTCAGGCCCTGACCCTGCAAGATTCAACGATCAGGTCTGGACTCACCAGATAGGCAAGCAACCAAAGAGTTTCGGACCATTTTCCAGTGCGAATTTGAGCAATCCAGATGTGCAAACGACGCAGCCATGACAAATTTGCCGTTAACCTGACGAAGCCAGCGCAAACCTCACTCTTTTCAGGTCTTCTGCTGATTTCCTGGAGGCTTGCCATGTTCAGTCAGCAACCCCATAACGATGAATGACCGCACTGAGAGCAGGGGACTCACAACACAATAGCAATAAAGACACCTATGTCACCAGATACGTTGACAATTCATCGACCATATGGAATGCCTCCTCCAAGAGTGATAGTGAAATATTCTTACCGTGCACACCACTCCGAGTGCTTTAAGCTGTAGTAGCTGGACATTGCCAGCATTGAAGATAGCAAGTGCTGTATTTGATAATTGCAGTACAGTTCCATCCTGTATACGCGTCACTCCGAGCAGATCTCCAAGCAGATGTGTTATGCCACAAAGCTTGTCAAACAGAACCTGGCTCGTTTTTGTCAGTCTGTACAACAAGAGAGCCGAAGCACAGACAAATAAAGTCAGCACAATCACCAAAGTTGACTCGAAAAAAGAACTAAGCAAATGGAATAAAACAAAAGTAAGAAGCCATCGGGACACCCATCAAAAATGGAATGATAGTGAGAAGATTAGCATGCACGCTTCACAAGGATAGCACGCATAAATCGAGAAATGGTCCAAATTTCTTACGGTACCGACCCTAGGGTGGATATAAGAAAAAGAAAAGAGGACAAAAGAGGAGGACCCAAAAAAAAAAGAGGAAAAAAAAAGCCCAAACGGGCTAGCTCAGTTGGTCGAGCACGTAAGTGACACTCAGGACGTCGTGGTGGGTTCAATACCCAACATCGTCCTTTTGATCCCCGCAGCCTCCTGGGGGTATGCTTCAGGTTCACCAGCAGAGACTTGGCTTGGGCCTCCTGGCTTGCTGTGGAAGTAATCAGTTCTTTCCAGCCCGCACCGGGTGTTAGAAGCTTGGGTACAGAGGTACGTAATTACGGTGACATGGATATAAGATTGAGAGAAGAAAATAGGGTAGCAAAAAAAAAAAGGAAAAAAAAGGGAAAAAAAAGGGGAAAAAAGGAAAAAAAAGGAAAAAAAAAAGAAAAAAAACAGCAGCTTTAACTCTAGACAATAGTTACGGGAAACTTCATTTCAAGGGAGTGAATACATGAGCCTCGTTTCTTCCTTGCAGTGGCTGAATGTTACAGACCAAGGCATCTAGATGACCAATCTGTCAAGCGATCAAATCCTTTCCAATATACATGATGCTCATGGCTACCATCTTCCCCTGAACATTAGGCAGGGTTGTTCTCAAGAAAAGGATCATCAGCGGGTGCCCTATTTGTTTACTACTCTGTTAAAGGACACCAACTTTTCAACAGAAGATCTATATTCTTGTGAAGGCTAATGACTTTTTTGAAGTTTTTTTCAAATTTTTTGAATGATATATATTTTTTCTAGACTATTAGTGTCAGTCTCTTGACTTAGCTTCTCAACCATTTGAGGAGTGGCTGACTTGTACACACAAGCAACTATTGAGAAACAGAAAGAAAGCATAAACACTAAGATACAATGATGTTAGGGACCATAACAGTGATAACATCATAACACACATTTTTTTGTTCCCTATATGGAAAAAAAGAAAGTGCAGGCGGACCTGCGATTCTCAGAGTTGCAGGGATCACACTTTTGTTTGATTTTTTTGAATTTTTTCCCTTTATCGAAAAAAAGAAAGTGCAGGATCGGACCTGCGATTCTCAGAGTTGCAGGGGAATATGTGCAACTTCGAGAACTGTCCATACAGTGAGAATATTGCGGACAGACTTCAGTCCCATACCAGACTAATGGGCTCCGGGGACCCAGTAACAGTACTGGATGAGATGCGAGGCCAGAACCTACATCTCGTTTTGGACCCTAGAAATTTGGAGGGGAGTCGACCAGTTCCCCAAGCAACCCCGCGCTACTCTGTAGCAAGAAGGAGATCAACAGGGAGGGGCAGCAGCACTGCAGCTGGGCAGCATCCAACTTGGCATGAGAGTCAGAAGAGAGGCTAGACACACCCAGTTGGGTAATCGGTCAGTGAGGAGCAATTGCAGCAGCCATAGCCACCTGTGAGGGTGACAGAGGCATGGAGGAAAGTCAAGTCTGATGGACACCGAAGCAGCAGTACACCTTGGAGGAGCAAAATACCAGGGGCCCCTCCAAAGACAACGACAGACATGTGGTAGACAGTAAGCCGGCACAAGCTTAGGAGGAACCTGACACGTCCTGACTCCTGAGAGAAAGCATGGCAATGACAACAACCTCTGAAGTTTGAAGCCATGAGAACACCAAGCATGCGCAAGGTTTCCAAAACCCCACTCTTGGTAGTCAAGTGGTAGATCATCATTGTCAGTCCGAAATTCAGAGCGGAGATACAAGGGCTTCCTGATGAATCACAGGGTATGGTGGATGTCAAGTCGTTGCTTCACTGTTGTTTTACAGACAGAGTCCAGTATCCCTGCCAGCAGTTATGTTGAGTCACCCAGAAAATTAGTGATTCGCAATTTTTTCAACATTTGTGGTCCCTCAATATGGCCTAGTGAAGCTCCGCCCTGAATTTGCACATATGCTCCGAATCTTAACTGTCCGTCGGATTTTTATACCCAGAGACTGTGATTCCAAGGGAATCAGTGAATGCCCACTGTGAGGAATAGTGAACGTGGACGCCCGCATTTCGTCAAGACCACAACAATATGCATGGTAAGTTCGGATTTAAGGATGACTTCACAAACGGACTGCCTAACTTTAGTCCCAAGGCATCCAACTTGTCATCATCACATTCCACAAGAAAGAAATGTAGAAATGAAAATTAAACATGCAGAGTTTGACAAAGGAAAAGCATCAGTGCAAAGTTGCAAACCTAGCAAAGCTCAGGAATACCTCTGACGTAATGTATATGCCATACGTTGCATTTCCAAAACCTACAGTGGGCATTCAAGAGAAAGTCTGCACTTATGTTGGGCAACATTAGCCAAGTTAAAACTACAAAAGCTGGTTGCAGGCTCTGCAGCCAGCACAATACTACTCAGACCACACTGCACCAACCTGTTCGGCAAATCCAGACAGCTAACAAGACAGAAAAGGTCCATGAAGACATCTGTCTGTACAGACCCAGACCAGAGCAGTTGCTATGCACGTGTCAAATAGAACCTAAACCCTTTCCAAAAAGTGGTTATTGTAACTTTTTTAGCCTTAAACCACCAGTACATGGCCCCAGCCAACTTGAGAATCATGATTGGGCCTCTCCGAGGATTTCGGGGCTCGGGGAAGGCTCCGTGGAGCGATGGGGGAGAAAGACGGTGGGCTCAAGGAAAAGGGGCAAATGGACTGCACGATGTCCTGTTGGTTCATGCAATGCACGTGAATACGCAGCATGGATGCAGAAGGCGTAGACAAAAAATAAAGGGAAAAGAAAAAAAAGAGGAAAGAGGTTTGGTCGGGGAAATAATGTCCCCTTCGTGTTGTCAGAGCCCGCCTCTCACAGCAGGGCGAAAGGAGAAGACACCGGCAGAGGAAAAGATTTGAGCAGAGGAAAGCAGAGGAAACAACACAGCATACTCACATCACAAAGCTCTGGACGTGATTGCAGTCGAGATTCGTTGAGGTCTGGCGCACAAAGGCTCTGACTGCAACTGCGGCCAGAGCTGGACGAATTTGACTGCAATCTACCGTCTTCACCCGAATATAACGCCCGGTCATTATAGCCGTATTTGGGGCCATTTCCCTTCCAGATGCAGCGATAATGACCGGGCGTTCTATTCGGGTGAAGACGGTAGTCAAAAGCAGTGCAGTGGATGTCCTAGTGTGAGTACACCCTCAGCTGGGAAAAAAAAAAAAGGAGATCAGTGAGATTCGTGATGTCACGAATCTCTTTCCCCCCCCCCTAGCAGAGGGCGTACTTACTCTACAAAGCCCTGGACGTGATTGCTGGCCACAATTGCAGTCAGGTGCAAGTTGGGCCAGACCTCAACAGATCTGACTGCAATCACGTCCAGAGCTTTGGTGTGCATGGCCCCAGCCTGCCCACCTCTCGCAGCACAAGCCATGAGAGGCAAGCTCCTAACAGCACTGAGGGATGCTATTTCCTCAATCCTTTCTTCCTTTTTTTTTTAATCTTCTTCATTATTTTGTCATCTCGTTTTGGTGAATTGTTTTATTTTTTTTTCTTGCACAGGGGCCATGCTAATCTTCTCTGTATCGCTTTGGTGAATTGTGATGCTAGGCCGCTCTTTTCTCTGTTTTTTTCTGGCATTCGAGCTGGCCCAGATTCAGGGGCTGGCTTTGTAGAAAGCTGAGCCGGAGTGGCACAAGTGAAAACAACGGCCTCCTGTTTTGTCCCATCTGCTGGAAGCAGGTCCAGCACTCAATCCACGACAGGCCGGCACCGGTACCAAACTCAATTTTCCGAGTGGTGGTACCAGTGGCCTTCAGGCTCGACAAAATTCAAATTTCCGCTCATACGTTTAGCCTCGGATGTACTGGTGGTTTAAGGAATATCTGAAGGCTATTACATGGGTCAAAGGGGCAAGCGTAGCATACCAAAAAAATTATCTCTGATAAAGGAGTCTCGAAGAGGCTCTCAGCCAGAAATTGTTTACACAGCAATTGCATAAAATACTCCTTTTCCACAATTCTTATATCTTTCTTTTGAAAATTTTCGGAAATTGTGATGTTGTGCACCCTGACATCCAGGTCATTCAGCTAGCCATCTAGTTTGTATGGCTAGATCTGGAGCCCGACAGCCCAGGGCCTCCCTGTAGGTGACCTAGTAGCAATGCCCAGATGATATTCTGCAGAATTTACACCTCTGACAACCCGGAAGGAGAAGAAAAAGGTCAGTAGAGGCCATGAAATGGTTTACAGAGGTTATGGCACAATCTTATATGCTTTAGTCCTGCAATGATGGACACCAAAGCCAGCTTCTCTCTCTGCCCCCTGTGGCCAACCAACGACGTCCTAGTCAATGGATGTTCTACATACTTATTGTTCTGCACCTTCCGTGTTTTCATCGGGGCTTTGCGGCCCCGCTTTCTGGCTCCGCCTGTGTCACCTCCATTCATCCCATCGGATCCATCTGCAGCCATACACAAACAAACGCAAGAGTATGTAGCTGAGCCTGCTGCAACAAGCAAGAGCTCCTGCATGGTGCCCTAACTACCCCAACGACGACCTCAACTTATCACCAAGGAGGGGAAATGATCATGTCAATTGATACTTGTACAAACACTGATGAGGACTATTGAGCAGGGAAGGGAGGTTTCCGAGAGTGCATTCTCTGTCTGTGACTGTGGACAATAAGAGTGAGGCGGAGAGACTGCACACTTTTGCGTGTAAATGCTGTGTCCGTGAGTTTATATGGTCAGCCACTACAGGACACGTTCATCTAGTCATTTCGCAGAGCAAAAAAATCATGCTGTGATTCCCAGGGAAACCACTTGCACCCTTCTTTCCTCCATTCTCCTGCGACTATATGCTTCCTTAATCCCACTGCGTAACCAACACGACCATCGGCAATTTCTCATGTCTTGTGTCTTTCTTTCTTTTGGTCAGACTCCAGCGACTCATGTCAATGCAACCCATGTCACAGACATGAGCACGCAGCATTACATTCTATTTTCTTTTTTCCTTGCAAGTTCTCAACTGTAAAAAGGTTCACAATGACCAACTTTCGAGCTATTAAAACTACTCTTATTCTCATTTTTTGAGCGCTCGGGTTCATGAAGCTGGACAAAAGTCACAAAACTAATCAAAAGAAAAGTTGATCGGTGGTGAGATGAGAGCATCAAATTTAAGGAGCCAGAGAAAAGCGGGAGTTGGGTGAAGAAAAAACAGATTTTGTCTACTTGACATGGACAAAGAATTGCAGATTATTACACCAGATTGTTCCCGATACGACAAGCTCAATAACACTCTGGCTTCATTCCACTGACATGCAGTGCCGTCCCCATGTCCTGCCGCCTTTAAAACGAGAGAAGTATTCCTTAAACCTCCAACCCCAAAAATCTGTGTCCCCACTCTTGCCAATGTGCAACAGTGCTTTCTCAGAAAGATATCCTCACATCTATTCTCTTAACCTCAATGTCACTTTCGATTCTGGCAAACGCATTTCCTAACCCCCAGGAATCTCAACCATATCCTGGAACAGGAATCTCAACTATAGCCCCAGAATCTAGCCAACATGCATTGACATGAATGGGCAGTGAGTGGCCTCTTACATAACTGGAATTACACAGACTCTGAAAATAGCAAGTGCTCATTAGAACAGACAAATGTAGCCCATTAAAAAAAAAAAAAAAAGAACAGACAGAAATAACTGAGTGCTGCCTGAGCCTCGGCCCAGCATAGACAATGGAGAAGGGGCTTCTCAAGTCTCAAGGAACGGAAGCGGCAGGGAGAAAAGAATAAGACAACAACATCAATAAAGGGAACCCCCGGAGGAAGGCAGGAGAAATCTGATGAAAATGAAATAACTCAGCAAGAAATACACAGACAAACAAAATAACTCCATGCTGCCTGGCCTCTGCCCAGCATAGACAATGGGGAAGAGGCTTCTCAACTCTCATGGAAAGGCGTGGGTGGCTGGGAGGGAAAGAGTAAGACAACACTGTCAATAAAGGGAACCCCCAGAGGAGGAAGGCAGCAGGGGTCCACAGCCACAGGTCCACAGCAATGATGACTCAGGTCGCAATGCAAGGAGCAGCAGCCAATGCCACTCCCTATGGACTGCATTAACTGGCCCACGTCCGAACTATGGACTCCATTAACTGCTCCAAGTCCGCTCCCTGTGTCATCCCTACCGGCACGTTGCATGCTAGTTGTGCAGCTTGAGCCTGACTCACTTGAGTCTGACTCACCACCATCTGAGCCTGGGACACTTGGGCCTGTACAGTCCCTGTCCTTGCATCAGACATGGCCACCATGGTATCTACTAAGCCAGAACTGTGTCTTTTACTTTGACGGACTCCAACCTTAGCAACATCGTAGGTCTACCCTCAGCTTGCTCTTGGGTGACAAGGTCGCTCATTTGGGTGCAGGCTGTCACTACTTGCAAAAGCCTGACTCATTTGGGTCTGACTCACTACACATGACCCGTGCAGTCCCTGTCCTAGCATCAGACACGGCCAACATGGTAAATACTAAGCCAGACCTCTGCCTAGCCTTTTCTTCGACAGACTCCAAGCTTAGCAACACCATAGGTCTACCCTCAGCATGCAATTGGATGACAAAATCGCTCCTTTGAGCACGGACAAGGACAGATACCACAGCAACTGATTCAGCCAAAGACACCCTACCACTCTATGACTCGTCTCCATTCTCTTCACCGCTAGTCTTAATGATGGATGGGACATTTCTCTATCTGTAAGGGTCTTAGTCAGTCTGATTCTTCCCCAATTCGTCTGGTCCCTAGCCATAGAGGGCCAACTGTCCTAAGCTAGCAGCGACAGCCCTAACCACCTAATCAAATAGCAACTGTTGTTGTGAAAGGAAAGTACGGCAAGCGGAATTAGGAACTTACACAGTTGAAATTCAGCTTGTCGTGCTTTCCTTTTGGACGGCAAGTGGAATTCAGAAATTACACAGTCGAAGTAGAGTGTTCAAAGCAGGCCTGTGCTCTGGACATATTAGCATGGAATAACGTGATAGGACTCTGGTTCTACGTCGTGGTCTTCGGGATAGGAGTAAGGACTAGAAGAGACAGTTGGGGGCATTCATATTCCTTATAAAAAAGGAAAAAAAGAAATTACACAGACGAGTCTACAGTCACACCAACCTCCCTCACACTTTGCTCATGCCCACCCCCTAACTGATGGCTCAGACTGGGTGAACAGTTCTCGGGAATTCAGGGTGGACCCACCTTGGGCACAGGAGTGGGCACCCAACCTGATCAATAATTATTTAACTTCACAGCAGAACGACAAATCTTGTTCTTTTTTTTACATTGCAACAGAGCAATGTGGCCACCCCCAAGATGCCTTGCTATGTGATGCTGAAGCTGAGTGAATTATCAGCATCCATTGGTGAACTACTCCCACATCATGTGCTCCACCTCGTCATCAAGGCCCTTCCCATACACCGCCCCTCTCCCACCAGATGCATCAGAAGCAGGATGACTCTCAAGATAGTATGCCACTCTCACCTCACCAAAGGCAGGACTCTCAAGAAAAACAGTAGATAGGTAGATAGGGTTTAGGATACTTATGCTGCTGATCCAACCTGAATCATCTCGCCGCTGATGCCGTCTGATGACCAGTCGACCCCATGCAACGACAAGCGGATTCACCAACAAAGTGACCCTAGCCACGTACTGCCTCTAGCAATAGCAATCACTAATGAATACTCTCATTATGTCGACCCTTCCTTCACCTTTCCGCCCATCCACTCTCAACATAGTGGAGAAGTCGTCTAACTGGTGAGAATACAACGAACTGCTGGTCAACCGTGATGACTGCAATAAGCTCCCTTGCTCGCCAAAAGGATAGCAAACTTCCAAAGGAACCGATCTGATAAAAAATTGCAAGGAAGGTGCCCGTGCGAATTCAGTTTGTGACCAACACAATCTTCATTGAAAGCCCACTTCTTGCCTCTATCCAACCAAACAACAACAGAGTAGTAGTTTCCAACTAAGGTAAGACTCGCCCAACACCACTGCCTAGTCTAGCATATCTATCTCATCCACCTGTGTAGGATCCTCAGAGACTTTACGTGGAGCTACTACTAATTAATAATATAAAAGAAAGACCAATGACTTATGAGTATACGTACGATAGATACCTTTGTTTGTATGTAGTGTCGTATTATTATAGTGAACCCGGGCAAGAGCCGTGGCCTTCGGCCTACACAGAGGGGCGTATGAAACAAACTCAATTTGTAGTAGAAGATCAAGTCCACTGTCCCATTGCTTGGAGCTCTCCCTGCATGCTGCTGAGCAATGTCCCATTGCTTGGAGCCCTCCCTGCCGACCACCAGGTACGTATCCAAATTTCTCCCATGGCCTTCCTCACCTGTTCAAGGACTACCTCTGCCTGACCGCCACCCCTACTATATATGGCCCCCAACCAGCTATGGTGCCCGGCTTCCCTTCCAACACAACTGCACCACTGTCCCTTTCCTACTGCTTACTCCCATTGCCTATTACGGCAGATTCCCATCAGTGACCTGCTGTCCCCCCACCCACCCCACCGACTTGCCCGGCCTTGGCTGGGACTTCCTTGGGCTTGTAGGTACTGCCTCCCGAAAGTTTCCAGAGTTAGCTGAAACCTACCGGGCCCAGGCATTGTTACCGGGTTCCCAGATGGGCCTCCCAGGCCTGTACCTTGTGGCACTGTGACCCAGGTCCTACTGGCCCTGTACCTTGTGGAGCTGGGACCCATGGCCTACCGTCCCTGTACTGCCCGTTATGGTGGCTATGGGCCTTGCGCAAACCTGGTTTTAATTGAATTGTCAGTGTTGGGATGGCCAGACTTTGCCTAGAGAACTGCAAACGGACTTATGGTTTCTTCAGTTACATAAAACAATGGCATGGTATGGCATGGTGAACAAGACACGGAAGGTAACGGCAAACACCTCAGAAAGTCTCCACTAATTATTCTCCAAACAAACCAGACACGGGATCATTACGCATCGGAGAGTTTCTCCATGAATGGTGCCGAAAGTTGGCACTTGGCACCACGAAAAAGGCAGGATTGTGTGTGTGTGTGTGTGGGGGGGGGGGGGGGAAGAAAGAGAGAGAAAGAAACTTTTACTATTTTTTTAGGGAAAAGACATGAGATCGACGAGAAAGACAGGGAGGGAAGTTATAGCGTTTACAATTGCTAGAACAATCCGCATACTGTTTCCCTCTCCTTCTTCTTCTTCTTCTTCTTCTGCATTGTGTTTTCTTCATCTACCATGGAAGAAGCATTGATAAGCTGAATAGTGGAAGCAAGTAACCGATATAGCAGACAACCGGGAGAGAACACACACAAAGAGAGAGAGAGAAAGAGAGAGAGAGAGAGAGAGAGAGAGAGAGAGAGAGAGAGAGAGAGAGAGAGAGAGAGAGAGAGCAAAAGCAGATTACCTCCATCATCATCACCGCCATCAGCAGCATCACTAGAACAAAACATGCTGAGAGTCCGTGTTCGCATGGTCCCAATGATGTTGTCTATTATCTAATTGGCATCCAACCCACACCCACACCCACACCCACACCCACACTCCCCCACCTCACACCACAGACACCCACATATACATACACATGCACATGGTCATCAGAGCATGACAGCTGCTCAGTCACATTAGTAGTTCTATAATGGCAATTAGGGCATCGCATATTTTGCTTCTGACAATCAGTAGACAGGGGGGGGGGGGGGCACAGGGGCGGGGCGGGGCATGCCTTTCGCTGCCAACTTACCTTCCAACCTTCCGCTGCAGCGCAGAGTGGCTCATAATAAAGAATAGTGTGTTAAACAAAGACAGGCAACCTCCATCTGAAGGATAAATTACCACTCCCAAAGATAATGATGAGATCACGCGAGCCTCCATCACAAAGATGCGCCGTTCTGCCATTTCATGCCAGGGAACCCGGCTGTGAACATCCTCAGCCAAACAATTGTACATTACTCTGCGGAAGAATCAGGTAAGATGAGGGGGGCTTTGCGCTCGTGCCTTGCGGTAAGCGCGCTATCTCGCGCTCGCGCCTTCGAAATTCGAATGCGGACGACATCGCGTCGCCCGACACAACATCGCGTCGCCCGACGCACCATAACCATCTCCCACCAGGGTGCCTAGCGCACGTGCCCCCAGTGCGCGCACTTGAGGCGGCTTAGTATAGTGGTCCGGAGGATTCTGCTGAATATGCGACGCTCTCTTGAAGGACATCGAAGGAGTGTTCCACTCCCCACGCAGCAGCTGTCTGCCAGGGCGGCACCGTATGCAACCCGCGGCCATAAACTTGTAGTGTGTATCACGAAGGCCCGGGCGGCCATAACCGCTCAGCTACTTGACCTTGGACCAGAGTGTCAGGCGTTTCTCATTGCGGCACATATGGGACAGCACCACTCGAACATGAAGGTGTCAAGGTAAACTTTTTCCTCAAGGAAGATCGATTCGAGCAAGTTCAGCCGGCTACACCTAGAAGCGGGTCATGCAATATTGGAGTGAGAATTGTCTTTAACATTCCTCCCGGCTTTATTGCCCCCTAACATCTTCTCTAACACCTCCTCTCTCCTCTTCTCCAGCCCGTCCCCGCCCCTCATCTCCGTCCCATTTTCTTTCTTCATTCCCGTTCTCCCTCCTCGTCGCCATCCCGTCTTCGCCTCCCTGATCGAACCCCCCATCTTCCTTCTTTTTATTTTCCCCATATATCAATCGCATTCCTCGAACCCCCCCGCACTCTTCTCTTGAGAGCGCTCACGATCCGATCGCCCCATCTCCTCGCATCGTCTTCAGTCTGTCCTCAGTCTTCCACAACTCCAATCCCACTCACTCGTCCCCCTTTCCTCTTTGCTTCTCAGCCTTCCCTCCCTATTTAGATATCCATCTATCATTAATCCGCCTCTCCGCGAGCAATCGGCATCCCCAGCTACCCATTCACCTTCCTGACATCGATCCTATCTGCTCTCGCTCGTCACTTCCATCCTGGCCTCCCTCCTCATCTCCATCCCGGTTCTCTATCCTCATCTCCATTCTGGTTCCGTTTCTAATCTCCCATCCACCCCGTAAAGCATTCGCCGCCTCAATCCCCCGCGATAGTATCCATCCATCCACCGCCCAAACCGCCCAAACCCCGATCGCCCCACCCCCCAACACCGCCCCCATCCGCGTTTCTCGGTTCAGCCAGTTTCCAATCTCCCCTGTCCCCATTCATTCACCAGCCGCTCCTTCCATCTAGTTTGCTATCTCCATTACCTACCATATCCAAACTCCCTCCATCAATACTATCTTTCGGCCCGGTCTCTAATACCCTCTCCCTCCTCATCTCCTTCCCGTTCTCGCTCCCCAGCGCCATCTCATTCTCTTTCCTCTCTTCCATCCGGTCCTCGCCTCCCTGGTCTAAGTCCACATCATTGTTTCCTCAACCCCCCCCCCCACACTCCTCTCTTCGTCCACCGCCCAAATCTCGATCACTCCATCTCACCGGCCACACAGTCTTCCCTCAGTCTTCCTTCTCCCCCGATACCACACACCCAGCCTCCCATCCACTTAGCCTCCCAGCCCTCCATCTAGATATCCACTATCAACCCTCTTCTCCATTTCCCTGTTCTTCCCAATCTCGCTCCTTTTCTTTCTCCTATTTCCCTATTGACTTCCCCAGCCACTATCCTCACACTAACCTTCATCCATCAATACGTAGTAGCCTCCTTTCTCCACTCCAACTTCCCTTCTATCTCCCTCTTTGCCCTGTTCCATCCATCTCTCCAACCCATCCTGACACATCATCCAACCTCTTCTTTCGCCAACGTCCTCCTTTCTTCTCTCCCTCATATTCGCCTCTTCCCTCGCGATCTTACCCGTCTATATCAACGTCTATATCGCTGTACATTGGGCCCTTCCCCTCCTCCTCTTCATTCCTTCCGAATCCTTCGACTCCCCTCCATTTCCCTGTGTATTCTTTACCGTCCCATCCATTCAGTCTTCCGCCTAACCTCCATCGATTTCGTCATACCCCATTTCTGGTACAGCTTTACTTTGAGCTTACAGCACCCACCTCCTCGCAGCAACCCTTGTCCCTAGTTATCTCCAACTATCCTTGCCCGGGTCCTTGTCAATTACTCTTCCTCTGACCCCTGTCCCCACTAGCCACCCCCACCTCTGTCATTCCAACCTCCCTCCCGGATCTCACCCAACCCTCGGCCGACCTCTGTCCGACCCCATCCCGAATTTTCCCAATCCTGTCCATCCCCACTCCCAAGTCTAGTCAGATCTCTGCCCGATCCAATCCCATCGTTCCCTCCCTGGCCTTTCCAGCCTGCTTTGAGTCTGCCTCATCCCAAAACGGGAGCTCAACGAATTTGAACATGACGGAAAAAGGTGTCAACGTGATTGATAACGAGGCGCTCAAATTTTTTATCGACAAAACGAAAGTGCAGGGGATACAGACAACGGAAATTCAGAAGGTAGATAGCAAAGAAGAAGAGGTAATTGTGTGGAAATATCCGAGCGGCAAAGTTGGATGATCTGCACGAAAAACATGGTGTTCAATTTCACACGCAATGGAGCAGATCTCCAACCCGTGGAGAAGAGGAAATGGGTGATCGAGACAATCAAGGAGTTGAAGCTCAAGCAATCCGGGGAAACCTTTACATTGCAAAACCTGGGTCGCAACAACGTCATGGCGTTATTCATTCGGGAAGAACATGCAAAAGCAGCAGCAGAAATGCAGTCCAGGAATTGCAATGGGTCAGTCTGCACGGTCTCCAAGTGGAAAAAATTAAACACACAGAAACAGGACCCAGTTTTCTCAGTCTCTTACAAACAGACACTCTTGAAGGAGAATTTCTGGGTCCAGTTCGACGACATCCCATTTGGTTTTCAGGGCTTGCTGGTAGACAGATTAGAAAAGCAATACACAGCGAACAGGATCCTTAAATGGATCCTGCCAGCCCCGAAATTCTTGGCCCCGCATTGCGGCTCGCTGACTGCAATATTGGAAGTCAAGACGGACAGCCCCCCGGTTTTTTCACAAACATGGAAATTACGGATCGAAAACAGAGTTGCGAAAATTAGGGTCTCTACAAAGAGCTCCCCGATCTGCTTCCGGTGCAGGGAGCAGGGTCATATGGGGACCGACCCCAATTGCCCCAAGTATCCGAAACAGCCAAAAGAGCGCAGCCTCCTTCCTAGCATGTTGGTTGAAGTAGGAGGCTCCAGGCATATGGTTCATTGTAGACAGCAACTACGATGGCTGGGTCTTCGATGACAACCTGGAGGAACCCGATTGGGTATGGCACTACGTGGACAGGGAACCTCTGGTCAAGAAACCGAATATCTTCCTGCCAGCCGACAATAGGTGACAGAAGAAAGCGACAGGGAGAGTACCAGGAAACCCAACAAGAATTAGAACTGACCCTCTCATCGATCCTAGGGTGATCAAGGAAGAGAAGGACAAGCAAGATCTCCTGTGGGATCTAGACGCAGTAAAGGAACAAGTGATGCTGGAATTCGACAAGGAAGATTCAAGCTTTAGAGGCAAGCTGAAAAGTTTAGAACAGGCGTCACTCCAGCAAAGGAGCAGGGATCAAACAGAAAATAAACGAACGTTGCACAGTGAAGGTCAGGAGATTGTGGAGGGGGGACTCGAGAAGCGAAAGGCAGTTAATGCAGCAGGGGAAGACGAAATAGTAACCAAGCCTGCTGTGGTCAGCCAAGGTGATAAGGTAAAGGGGGAAGGGAAGGCGGAGTCGGACACCATGGCCGATGTGAGCAGCGCGGAGGGAGACAGCCCGACGAAGGAAAGTGAGAAGGAATCTCGGCGATTGCTCCAGTGGCTCAGAGAATATGTAGAGAAAGCCAAGAGGGAAAGGGAACATGCATTCAACAACAGGGTAGCATGCCTGAAACGCGCTGAGAAGGCCCAGTTAGTTGGTAAGAGGGGCCCGATAGGAGGATCCGGGAACTCCAACAACCAATTTGAGGCGCTCAGGAAGGTCAAGGCAGAGAAGCTTTCAGAATATACGGCATTCAGCTATGCAAAAAAGAAAAGGGCAAGAGAACACGGTCTGAAAGACAAAGCCAAAACCATTCCCGATTCCTAAGACGCATTCCAAAGCTTGCGCCCAAAGAAATGGAAGGCAGGGAAGAACCAGAAGATGAGGGACAATAACTCAGACCCAATGGAATCTGAGGAAGAATCTGGACGCACCCTGCTGGAAAAAGAAGCAGCGGTTATACTGGCTCAAACAGACAAATTGAAGAGACTGAATGAGGAGTACGCCCCAGAATTCACTACAATCGACCACATTGCCAAAAAGGTTGCTCCACTGGTGGAGAAAACCGCCAGGTCGGCACGGCTCACAATGATGAGTATCCGTCCGCTCATCGCGGCAAGATATGTGTTAGGAACTGGTGAGTGGCAGGTTGCCACAGATGTTTCCTTTCAGATCCCTGGCTTTGAAGAAGACCAGAACATAGCAGAGGTCTTTCAAAAGAAGGTAACTAGTGTTAATCCGTTGGGGATCTATGAAATAGGGCTGAATGGAGCAGTTCAGGAGGACACACAGTCTCAATCAGGATGTTGAAACAGATGCAGAAGCAGGGAAACACTCTCCCCAGGCATTCATGCCATTGATCGTCAAGCTGCCGGGAACCGCGCAGCTGAGATCAGGGATGAGATGGCGACCGTGGAGGACCGTAATTGCAATCCCATACAGCATCTTGACAGGCTCGAGCCTGCCAGCAGAATTGAATGCAGTATCAATTGCGACCCTAGTAGCAGCAGGCATTCTGGAGGGAGATGGAGATCTAGATGCACGAGCATATGCACTGGAATGGGACAAATTTTACAGAAGCGATGGTTCGGATGAGGAGTCCTTGGGCGGGATCTCTGATGAGGAGAGGTACGAGGAGGGGAGAAACATAGAGCAGGGAGAAGACTGAGGAAAGCATGGGTCCATACAAGATGGATGAGTCGGGGTCAGACTCGCCCTCGAGGCCGATGCACGACTCCGGGGGTCTGATCCGGGAGAGGACACGAACGGTCTGGACACAGGAGGACCTTCACCCTCTTAAAAGAACAGCAGAACAGGCTATGGGGTAGATAGTGGTGATAGTCGGGGCTATGGAGGAATTTAGGAGAGCGGCCAACATGGGGGTTAACTCAAGGGGAGTGGAGACATCAAGGGATTACCATTCGATGTTGGAATGCCAATGGTTTGGGTAACGTTCAGGAAAGGGAAGACAAGCTCTTCGACCTAATTAAAGGTTTCACAGTAAGC